CCACCAGTGAGTGTGGCAGTGAACAGGACACTTGGGCTGCACTCTTCAGTTTCTGAGCAGCTCTGCAGACTACAGAGGGGTTGAGGGAGAACGCAGAGCAACCAAGCAAGCATCTCTGCTGCTGCTGCTTCTGGTCTTCCTGAAGCCCTCACTGACATCACTGCATGCAAACTGACGCCTTTGTGGCCCTTTACAACTCTAAACTCTAAATACTCGATATTTATATCCCAGTCTTTCCTTTGTATTAACTCCTCCTTGCCTGCGTCTGTGCTTTGCATGCCCTGGTGAGCTGAGCTTGGGTGTGTCAAAAGCTGAGGGCAAGATGGGACTATAAAACTGGTGTAGTGGTGTTTTATTTTGCCTTTATGACTTATTTTTCCAGTACGCTGAGATGATGTGAAGCTAATAATCATGCTTAGATACTATAGAAAGTATGTATTCATGTATTGTGGATAAATTATTTATACTCTTATGAAAATTAATATAATTAATAGCCAAATGATTGCTTGAGATTGACTCCACTCCTGAAAGCAGGGAGCTGTGGTGTTTGGCTTTGCTTTGGTTTTTAAAGAGATGCTTTTGAACTTGTGTGCTGTCACATATACCCTACTGGTTCATTCCTGGTGTGTTGTCACCTGCGAGTACCTTGGGGCCTCCGAACCATAGCAGATGCTCTCATATGAAAGGGGCAGTACTCAGTCCTGAAGTCATCCCCTGTAAAGCCTCATTTGGGACCAAAGCTATCCAGTGCCCAGGCAGGGAAGAGATCTTCCGAACGCTTTTGTCATGCCAGCAAGTCTGGAGTGTTGTAGACACGGGATGTGCATACACACAAACACCCCCCTCTATCTGACAACCATCTCTGTCTACACTAGAAGGTATTAGTGCAGGACCTGGCATCTGGAGCATTTTCATCTTTAATTCACCCCTCCTTTTGCATCCAAAGCTGGACAGTGTGTAGGAGAAAAGAACTCTTAGTCTTGGCAGCTAAAGTTTATAGCTAAGTCACTTTAATGTGTCTGAGACCTGTGCCCCTTTTTTAGCATGATCCATCCCTCTCCCTGTTTTTTATTCACTATATTGCTCTTCACCCCTGATTATGTCGGCATATGGAGGCACAGCTTATGGCCCTGGCAGATGTGATGCAGCGCACCAGAGAAGTGACTGCAGGTCAGCTCACACAAATGTGCTTATCTCTGCCAGCCCTAAGTGAGCTGCTTCCACAGGCAGGGCAGCAGCACCCGTGCTGCTTGGAGAAAGTGGTGCAGTCATACATGGGTAACTCATAGCTAAATTAGGATGGGACCTTAAGTCCAGAGCAAATATTATAACCCATGACTGACCCATAGCTCCCTAGCTGCCTCCAGGCAGATGAACCTCAGCACATACAGCAAGCTGCCTGGCTGTGACTGTCTTACCTTCTTACTTCATGTGCTGAATTATCCCATAGTGGGTCCAGCTACAGCCCTGTAGTCTGACCTGAACCGTGCTCTCCCATATCTGTAGCCCAGCGGTAATGCAGCATCTCTCATTGCAATGTGAATTCAAAAGGCTCTCTCCCATGTCTCTATCCCATAGATGATGCAGCATCTCTGGTTAAAATGTGAATTCAGAAGGCACACACGTGTGGTGGTGTCTGTGGATAAGAGGGAGGTACTGGGACAAGAGGAGGGGAGGCTCTGCTGGGAGGCTTTTCTTCAGGACAGTGTACAGTCCCATACCATGTAATACTCTTCTTTAACTTTATTTTTGAAGTATCTGTGTAGCAGAGTTGTGCCCAACTGTAGTAACGCTGTGACCATTGTAACCACTGACTGAGATACCCCAGTTTTGATGTTCACAATACCAAGTTCTGAAATAAACGGCTTCCGGGCCCTATTTCCACAAACTGTGACTCCAGAGCCTTTTTTTTTTTTACCCCTTCCTTTTTTTGTGACTTTTTCCCCCCTCTGTTACCAGACCCATTATTATCATCACGTGCACAAACGGCTTGGAGCAAGGCAGTAGTGTGAGAGCAAAGACACAGCTGCACTGCTCCATTCCAGTGTGATGTGGCTGCGTCCTGCTTTATGGTCCTCTTGATCTCTTCACCTTTTTCATCTGCTTCTCAAAGAAGTTTTGGTTGAGCTCACCATTCTTGGGCATGAAGTGCATTCCCATGAGAGCACCCTGCTTCTTAGCAGCATCCACCCCTCTTGACATGACAGCAGTGGACACGAAAGAGTAGAGTACACAGGACTTTTCACATATTGCAGGAATTTACTCTGTTCAGAGCAGATCAATATATAAGCCATTCTCTGGTCAGCACTCAATCCCTAAGTCATTAATATGTTATGCTTAAAACTCTTCAGCTATTCTTTGCTAACCAGAAGTAGGCCTTTTCTGGATGGTGCCATCAGCTGCCCAGAGGATCTGGCTGCACGTTGTGAAGTGGGGCTGGTGAGCAGCAGAGCCCATGGAACTCTGATCCTAAACAGTTAAAATCCCAGGAAGAAGATAGTGGTTATGAGTGCTAAATGACTGTAATGTCTTCCAGGCCAGTAAGTGAAAACTGTCAATGAGCCAGAGAAGGTATTTTCCACTGCAGCCAGGAGCTGTGTGAGGTTTGTCCCTTAGCCCAAGGACACAAAGAGTGCAAAGCTAGGAAAAAAGAGCTGTGTTGTCCCCAGGCCATGCTCTGCTTTGCCCTTCGCAGGTGTGCCCCAGTGAGTGGTAGGTATCACTCTTTCTGATACCATGCACATCATAGTCCTGAGCTGCACTTCTCATTTCCTTTCCCATTCATTTCCTCTTACAAAGCTGAGATGCACATGTACCTCTGCTGTTTACATCTGTATGTGTGGTGGGGCAAATGTGTCTATGTCTGTGCACTAAAGACCTCTGCACGTTTGCGAAGCATGACACCCTTCCCAGGTCCTCTGGAACCTGAAGAGGTTGGGCAGTTTCTGCTGCAAGACTGAGGAGTTCCTTGCTGCTGTTAAAGGCATGTCCTGTTTGCAAGCGCCAGGAAGCTGGTTGGCTCAGATGTTGCTCAGCCTGATTAAGCTGGTCGGGATTGTTGATGTCTGCCTCGTACTAGCAGATAAGTAGTTCCATAAGATACTTTAAATGTAATTTTAACTCTAGACTGCTGCTTCTGGACGTGCTAGCACTGCATAATCTTACTGCATCCCCTCTTTAATCTCCCAGAGAGAATGGCATGTGCATAAATCACCTCACAGCTCAAGGTTGAGATATATATATATTCCTTCACGCTCTCATTTACTGCTGGCTTTCCTCTGACAGAAGAGAAGCCACATTGCTGCTCTCATCTGTCTCTGTTTTCATCAGATTAACCCTCCAAATGCTGCAGCTTGATTGTATGCTGCAAAGCCTGATCTATTGTAAATTATGTATGCTTCATACTCAGTTAGTACTTCATCATGACTTATTTGGCAAGTGTCTTACCTATTTCTAACTAAACAAAAGCTTACAGGAGATCCCTGAGAGATCTTGTTCATATTCTAGACTTTCCTTCCTGTACTTTGTTCAATTGTGCAAAATAATACAAAATTCCTATGTTTTCAACCCTCTTTGAATGCTCATTTTGATGGTATATGGACACAAGTGAGACTGCAAAGCTGACCCCTCATTTCTGATGCAATGTAGTCAGCTAAACCTTACATACAGACTAAGATCAGTACATGATTGCAAGGTGGAATATAAAGAAGGTAAAAATAGGAGTAAGTGTTTGACAGATTGTTCAGCTTAGGTTGGTCTTTAAATCTTAAACCATTGCAAAGGTCAGTGAGGAAATGGGATATCAGACACCAACTGCAGAGTTTATTTACATACAGTAACTGAATGTGAAATACTGTGAGGACTTTCAAATACAAAGTCCTTTCACACAGTGGAACAGAAACCAGTTTGTATCTGTAGCACTTCAAAATCAAGCTCGCTGGTACAGGTACCCTGAGCACGTTCTGTCTGTTCTCTCAGGTAGTGTGTTCTCAAGTTGGATGTGCTGTTCTACAGCTCCACTCTGGCACTTGGAAAGAGCCCATTGAAAACAACTCACAGACCTAGAAATACAATGGCCATTATTATTGCCAATTGACATTTTCTCCAGTTACTGTAATAGAGATTGGTTTTTACTCACTAAAAGCAAGACAATTCCTGTAGCATATGATACAGGAGCACAGTTCCCTGTGAATGGCTATGCTAGTACATACCTGTGGCTAATTATGATATGAGAAAGGAAAATGTGATGCTTTAGGTATCAATTTAGGGTTGAAAAACCCAGGTCTGTGTCTGTCTTCTACCCTAGGAGTTTTATGTGACTCTCAACAAGTCACTTAGCTTTCTTTTGCTTCTCTTTCCTATCTAAAATGAGGGCAGTGAGTCTTCATGACCTCACAGAAGTATAATAAAAGCAAATGTATTGAAGAGGCTTGAATGTTAGTTTTAAAACAGAGCTCTTGTGTCTACAGCTTTATCTAGGTACCCATAAACATACTTTTCTCTAGACTGGCATCAGAGGTAAGATGTTGATTCTGGTTTCTAAAGACAAAAAGGCTTGTAGATAACCACTTGCTTCCCAGTCATGACATTTCTAAGCATGTTGTTTGCATGTGCACACAGCAAAAGGTGTACTCCATCGTTAGTCCTGTGTGGATCTGGACTTTGTAAAGCATTCTGGTGGGCTCTGGGTGATTCCCTCATGCAGGGAGAGAACCAAGGTCCTATGTCTGTTTGCACCTGAGTTCTTAAACTCTTCCACCATTTTTCACACCCTCTCTTGTGGGGCAGGCTGGTGCACAGTAACTTCAGTAAGGCTGAGCAGTTCTTCCTTCCCTGGCTTCAGAAGTGTAGGAACATTCCCATAAACTCCTGAGCATTCTGCATCTTGCACTCCTGCACTGCAAAATGAGTCCAGACCTGTTAACACAAAAAGTACAACTGAGAGAGGGGTTACTGGAAGGTTCTTGTTGCTGAATGTCTGTCATGCGTGTCATTTGCAGGTACCTCTCTGGGGATTCCATTACTCTCTTCCCCAGCGGCACTGGGACTGGCTTCACTTCCCCTGCTACATCTCTCTTTGTCCCAACACCACCCAGTATTCTCCAGCTGACAAACCAGCAGCTCTTCAGGTCCCCACGCAGATCTTCTCCTTCCTCTCTTCCTGGGCGTCTCAACAGGGCACTCTCACTGGGAACCATCCCCTCCTTGGCCAGAGCAGGTAAGTGTGTGCCCAATGGTGCAATGCTTCAGAAGGAAACAGGCTGGGAGGTATCCATATAGAGTCATAGAATAGTTTGGGTTGGAAGGGACCTACAAAGGTCTAGTCCAACCCCTCTGCCATGAGCAGGGACATGATGTTACAGCCCTGTTCAGGGATTGCTGCTGTAATCTGGCTTTTGTCATTAAGAAATTACGCAGCCTACTCTTGCCACCCTGGTGAAACAAAGTCTCGGCGAGCGTTTGCCTGTTGTGTGCTTACTGAAATCCAGAGGCTTCTCTGGGCATTTGTGGTGGTACAGCACAAGCTATAGTGTGTGGGAGAGAGGCAGAAGGAGCAGTTAGAAGTGGGAATGGAAAAGAGCAGTGTTAGGAGGTGATTGGGAGCATGAGGATAACTGATCCGGCAAGAGCGATTGCTCCTCCCCTACCTGCTTTGTGTAGCTTGCTTTTCTTGCTACGGCTGAAGGGAGCAGAGCTAAAGGCAGGCTCTTCATAAAGTCTGTGTTTGACATGCATTAGCACAACTATGGAAACTGCTGTAGAGACCTTGTTTCCTCCTGTTTTTAAGGGCTCTCTGATCTAGGAAAGATTTCTAGGCCTAAGGAAAGACTCAGTATCTCAGTAAGCCCTCAGTTTTGCTGTGTTAGAAGCTAACAGATGGAAAATAGCATTCAAGTGCTATTCTCCATCCAAGGAAAGCTAAGCTTTCCTGTGTCTCTAACTGGTGCATGGAGTCAGACTCTGCAACTCAAGGAGAGTTATAAAGCAGGTAACTGCTTAGCAAAAGGTCAGAGGCCAAAATGGGGAGGTTTCTAGGATAGCACTGCAGCAGACAGCAGTCTTGCAGGGACTTTTTACTTCATCCAACATTTCTCTAGCTCCTGCTGCTGACAGTTTTGCCAGCTCCTCTGAAAGAGCAAGAGAAAGACCAGCCAGGCAGCACAGCAGCTTTGGGCACAGCCTGCATTCTCCTAGTTCCCAAACTGGCATGGGAAGGGCAGGTGTGAACGCACCAGACGGCTGGGATCCCCCCTGCCTGCAGAGCCACCCTTGTGAGGTCTGTGCTTGCTTTTGCTCACTGCAAAGCCAGACAGACTGGAGAGAGCTGCTGGGGCTGAGTATAAAAGGATACAACCATATCTTCACCTTCTTCCTTTCGAAGCAGATGCACCCCAGCTGTGATACAGTCACAGGGTAGATAATGTGAATCTGATGTGGTGTTCAGGAGTCATCTAGCAGCTTGGCTAGGAGCAGATGAAGGTACCACCTTTGGAAGCTGCCCTGTCCTTCTGTTGCTGCTTTCACAGCAACTAAATTGTGTGTATACTTGTCATCTACTCCTGTGCAATATTAGGTAAATTATTATCAGCCAGTTCTGTGGCAGCTGGGAAAAGTGGATTATCCTGGTGCTGGCATGTAGCTTAGCCAGGAAAACAGGGAAAACAGTTTTTCCTGCCTGCATTCACCACCCATCCCTTTCTGAGACAAGCTGATGCAGTTACATTTTGGGGGTTCAAACTGAGCCAGCTGGGTTCAAACTGTTTCATTTTGCACTTTAGATTCTGGCTACTTGTTCAGTGGAAGTCGCCCAGCCTCGCAGTCATCTCAGTCCAAGGAATCTCCTACATCAGGTAATGCACGACGCCTTCCAGAGCAACTCTTTGCAGGACTTGCAGGGAGTGGGTTGAAATACATGATCCAAGTTTAATTCTTTCCTCCCTGCTCACATCCCAGTGCAAATGTCAGGTTTGCTGTTAGAAATGCTGCAGAGGGGGCTGCAGCTAAGAGTGGGATTGCATTAAAATAAGGTGCTGGATGTGTTGGAAGTCCTGGGAGAGCTCACGCTGAACCCAGTGAGACAAAGTCAGGATCCCTTCCCTGCTCTACAGCTGAGTTGAGACTGCTTTGGCAGGAGACTAAACTGTTCCTAGGGCAGCTCTTCTGTTGCACTTTCCCAGCCAGAGGAGCTGCTGCCCTGTCTGCTCTGCCCTTTTGCTCCCGTGTCCTCCAGTGACCTGTCTGTTGCCCTCCTGACCCCAGGTGGATCCTTTGGCTGTTTGTGCTGCCTAAGCATTTGCTGCTGGAAATACAGGCACAGCCTGAGCTAATGCAAACCTTCTCACATCCTGATGCTCTTTCCTAACAGCCTTTAAAGGACATGCCAGAACAGTTCATTTACCTGCAAAACAGGCTCTACTGAGCGGACACAACTGAACAGAGAGAAAGGTCACTCAGGTCCTGGTAAACCCTTCTCTAGTCTAAGTCATTCTTGAGTTACCAAAGTGCATGTGGAATTTCTCCATGTTTTGCTATGTGGGAATTCAAATGAATAAAGAATTTTAGTGCAAGATATGTTGGACATTTGCAACTCCCATTCCCTTTTCTTATAGAATCATAGAATCCCAGACTGGTTTGTGTTGGAAGGGACCTTAAAGCTCATCCAGTTCCAACCCCCTGCCATGGGCAGGGACACCTTCCACTAGAGCAGGCTGCTCCAAGCCCCATCCAATGTGCTTTGAACACTGCGAGGTTTGGGGCATCTTGTAGAATTGTTAAAGGAAACAGTGCCTGTTGTGTGGCATTACCATCTCATCATTTTCTCTTCGGGCTGTTTCCGTTCCAGAGCACTTCTCCCTGCTGTCAGGCAGCTGTGCTCCCTCCCGCATCCCTTCCCCAGCACCATCAGTGGCTGGCTCTGTGACCTCCAGCTCGGGTTCCCTGCGGTACCGCCGCCCGCTCATCAGCCCTGCCCGCCTCAACCTGAAAGGCCAGAAGCTGCTGCTCTTCCCATCTCAGAATGAAGCTCAGCTCACTCCGTCTAGCTCAGAGGAGCACACCCACTCAGACAACAACATCTTTGCCACCGAGCTGGCCTCCTTTCCAAAGAAGAACCTCAACGAGCGGGGAATTCATGGTATGCTGCCAGCTTCCTGCTGACTCGGAAATGCATCTGTAGGGAGGAGCTGGCTTGCAAGCAGAGCCACGCATCATCTAGGTGATACAATAGGTGGGAAACCTTCAGGAAAAACCTAGATGGTGATGACTGCTGGGCTACCAAAGCTCCCTTAAAAATCCACTGGCCTGGAGAGCCTCAGATGTCCTTTGCTCACTTAGTGGTGCCCCGGGGGTACTACTGCCACTGTTTTCACCCTTGTTTGGATAACTCCTTTTACCATAGATGTGGTGATACTGATATGGGCAGTGTATGAGGCAAGCATGCAGGCAGCTTCTGCTGCACAGCAGTGAAATTAGCCTTTTGTTTCCAGCCCTTGTCCTCAATCCTTTCATGACTCTTACCAAGCAGCCATTCATTACTGATGTTCTAGCTTTATTCTGGTAACTTCTGCTTTTTTGGCTTCCAGTGGTGCCTTCTGAATTTTCACCTTTTTTGTCTTGCAGATGTGAGATCTGCTATGGAAGGAGGGAGCATTTGCAGTGATAATTCCATCAAAAAGGAGGATCATTCATCACACTCATCTACCTGTGTGGTCGACACAACGACCAAAGGGGAAGATTTGGCAGGCTGGAGAGGTAGGTGCAAGTCATTTGAGTGCTTCATATACATTTCTGGGAGGGGTAACTGAGCTATTTCCTATGCTGCAGTAGTGATCTGATCTTCAGATCAAATAAACAAGTAGCAGCAAAATGGATGTTCTGACTGCTATTCTAAGGTCTTAATAAGGCTATTCCTGCTCTTTGGACTGTCTGAAGAATACTGGCAGAGTACTGAACTGAGACAGAAGGAGAGGGGTGGGGATGTGGGTGTTGAGAAGAGCAATGAGATGAAAATGGAACCAAAGAGGGCAGTGGAATCTGTCCTGACAGAAGTGCTTCAGCAGTTTCTGTTTAAGGTGAAAATGCTGGGCAAAGAGAGAAAAAGAGCACAAGCAACGTTTGCTGTTATATGTCTCATCGATTCTTTAATATCTCTTTCTGCTATTCCTTTTCTTTGTGTTGTCCTCTTCTACTAAGGTCATTTTGGTAACTCTGCTCTCCGAGGCCTGCTAGCCCTGAGTCTGACTCTCAATGCTATCTTCACGTCAGCCTACGTCTACCGGAGCCTGCGTTGATTTGTGCCAACCTTCCCCTTCTTTCTGGTTCCACCCGCTTCGGAGGAGACAAGAAGGATTCAACCATGGCTTCATGTCTAATGGCCATGCCACTGGTGCATGCTGGTTTTTAATGAACTACTGTCTACTCAACTCTCATGACAAGGAACCCAGTTGCTGCTGCCATCACTTCCAGGTAGAACATATCCCAGGATTGTCCCTGGAGGTGGCAGGATTCCCAGAGAGCTCCAGTTCAAAGTGAGCAGCCAGTCAAATGGCCCTTGTGCTTTCTTTCAAAGGAACTCACCTGAGAGACAAGCCTGAAAATGTGTAAGCTGTGTTTATAGGAACCTATCCCCAGCTCTTCTTTCTGACACACGAACCTCATGCTGATGGTGCTGGTAAAATGAGGAGAATTGGAACAAACGACCTGGAGAAGAGGGGTTGCTTAGTAGCTGGTGCTGGGCTTTGGCTACTGTAGCAGCATTCCCAGCTTCTACGCCCAATGGTTCCTCTTCTCTCTTCCTCTTGGCACTCTCCTCTAAATTATCAGTGAATTTTCTTTAGTTGCCTTAAGCTTGCCTACGCACATGGGTGACCTTGGCTGCTGTGGCATATTCTAGCATCTTCTCTGTTCATGTGCTTCCACCTGGGCTGTGCCCTGAGGCCGCTTTCACCGGCTGCCATTCTGGTCGTGCTGGTTCTCACAACCTGTGCATCCCTCCAGCCAGCACCGTCGCTGCAGGAGTGCACAAACCCCAGGCAGGCATCCATTTGTGATTTGCATTAGGAGGAGGAAGCCTGTGCTTTGCTTTACCCAGGAGGCATTAATTCTGTTACAGTGAATTCTGTAGTGAGGAAGGATCCCTCTGTGATTTGCACCGTGGTCAGAGAGCTTCAGCTCACAGCTCTGCTGGTGCTGTCACTGGAGCAGCTTGTTGTTGCTGTACACCACACAAGTCTGTTCTATTAGAAGATACATGAGGAGCTGTCTGACTGTAGACATTTATCTGGAAACCTTCAATCTGATATTGGGATTTGCTAAGTAACCATTGAAGATATTGCTTACTTAGTTAAATGCCAAGGTGCTCTCAGCTGGGAATGCCAAACCTGCTCCTGGACAATCCAGCCCAAATTTGGCATTTGGGCACTTCTGCTTTTGGGTGAGACTTCAGCATTGCTTAGGATTCAGGGGCCATTTAGAGTATAGTGCAGAGTGCTCATAATCATATAGGACAACTTAGGAACAAAGAAAGTCTTGGTGTTTTGATTCTTAAATCCCAAGTGCAGAGAGCAGATCCACCAATGTGTCAAGGACACGTGGTGAAGAGGGAAAGCCAACTGCCATTAGCTGTATGTTTCCTGAAGCAGGGCTGACTCTATTAAGATGGGGTTTTATTGTCCTTTCCTTTGGGCTTGTTTACCTCAAACTCCTGTTTCCTCTCCCTCACTGTCCTATGTTTGCATCCTGAATTACAGTTACACTTACTGTGTGTTTTCCTCCCTTTCAGTACTGCTGCTGTTCCCTCTGTTGTACTCTTGCATGTGCACAGAAGCAGAGTGTATCTGCTGGTAATTCTCTGTTTGAACCCGAAACTCACACCTCAGAGTGATGATCACCCTTTCTTTCACTTCATTGTTTCTCTTGCACGTTTTGAGTTCCTAACACAGTACATCATTGGAGTGATAGCCAGACTCTGCTCGGCACACTGTATGACACATTAAATGGGGCTTTACTGCTGGTAAGTCAAGCACTGACAAATTAAATCTCCGTGTCTCTTCCATTTCTTCCTGCTTTCTTTTAGCAGCCACTTCCAGCTGCTGCTCCCCATCCTCTCTTTTCCTAGTGAGGCCTGCTTATCTCCTCCTCTGCATCTTACAGGCAGAGAACAGACCTCTGCCCACACGTGCTGATCTGAGACACTGTGGAGGTGTCACTTCTGACCCTGCACCTTTCTCTTGGCCTCTTTAGAGTGTTGGTAAAGGGCCACGCAGCCACCACCTCCTGTACAAAGGCCTAGATCCAGGATAGAGACCTGCAGCAGGAAGATGTGCTGCAGGTTGATGATGAATTCTTTTTTAACCTGCATGAATTGTTGTAGCTGAACCGGACCCATAACCTTGCAGTTTAGAGATTTTTGTCCCCTTTATAGACTTCTGCAGGCTCATTTGAGCATGTGTATAGGCAAGATGCTAGCAACCAACTTAGAAGCTATTTAGACTTCTGCTGTTTCTGTTTCATGATGCCCTGGTGCAGTGTGCAACATCCCATTCATGGATCCCTCTCCTGACTTCCAGCATACCAGGGGCCTCCTATGCAGAGACAAGCATGCCAGAAAATGCTGTGGGTTTGCTTGTCTTTATTATGCCAACAGAAGTGCACTGTGACTTTGTGTATGCAAACTTCCCACCTCCACCTCCCAGTCTGCGCTGAGCCTCACCATCGCACTCGCCTGGAGTCCACGTTGGTCTCTGTCTCTACGGGATTGCAATGCAAATGTTCTCCTCCTTTCCAGCAACCAAGGAGCTGCAGCCTCACAACACACCTCTTCTTGCTTGTATTCCACAACAGGAACACTTCAACCTGTCACTGCGCTTCTGGATCTGCTCGCTGAAACTGTTCTCGGAAGGGTGACTTTGTCCAAAGCAATATAAAGACTTTGGATTTTATTGCTGAAGAGGGAAGACAACCAACTATATTTCATTCTGGTGCTAGAACACTCTCCAGTGGTGCTTTCACGGTTGTGAAGCCTTTGCTTGAGCAGCACACACGAGTACACGTGTGTATGTGTGTGTGTGTGTGTGTATGTGCACGTGTGCATGCATGTGTATGGAAACATTTGGAGGGTTTCATCATTTCAGAAGATCTGAGCCCATGTTTGTCTTATATTGTTGGCCTTAATCTAGCTCTTAGATACTGTGTCTATCTTGCTGCTGTTTTCTATATGAAGCTGGTTTGGAGGAAACTGAAGTTTATGTGGCCCCCCTGTAAAAGTCTGTGCCTGATGATGCTGATCTTCAGACAGGATTGGTCAGGGGTGAGATTTTATTTTTCTAATGTCTTTCCTACTGTAAAAACTACTGGAGTGTATGGAATGGAAAAGATCCTGACAAAACGGTCTGATAGATTTGAGCATTACTTCATACCAACAACTAATGATTGTGTGGGATATAAATATGCTCCATTTCCAGACCTTTTCCATTGCTTACCTCCCCTTGAAAACATCCAGGTACTTTGCATATGAGCTTGTTGGGCACGTTCTGAGACCTTGCAGAGACTGTTGATGATTTTGCTCTTTGGAGTAGGAAGAATTTGGATTCTAGAGTCTGATTCCAGTGCCGCAATGGGAGCAGTTTGGCAGATGCAGCAAATACAATGCACACATCCCTTTGATGGGATAGAGAGGATTGGCAGAACAAGTTGCTGATTTCTGAAGGTTATCATATGTTTTTACATTAATCTTTAACATGCCATTGGTCACTGTGGCAATGTGGAAATCTCTCATTGCTAGCATATGTAGGCCAGATTCACTGACTTTTTGGCTGTGATTTGGCCTGTGAATGTTTTATTCCCACTCCCTCCTCTTGGGTGCTGGGAACACCTGTAAAACACTGCTGAACTTGACTGGGTTCCTTAAACAGGGCAGCTGGAATGAAGGGCTTGCGTTGCCTGTGGATGCTGCTATATTTTTTTCTTCCAAGCACCATTCCTGGAAACAACTATGGTCTTAACCTCTCTCACAGACACGTGTTAGATTAGAAAGGGACAATTTGGCCAATCCTACTTTTCTTTAATAGACTTTGATTCCAGAAATTGCCATCACTGTGACCTGTGGTGGGACAAAGGGACAGAGTACTTGGGGATGGATTGGGTAGCTAGAGAGGGTGAGGAGGTCAGCTCTTGAGTCCTAAACCTGATTTCCTGTGAAAGACAGACTGTGTGTCAATGTGTGTCTGCTTGTCTGGGGAGCTCTGACACTGTACAGTTTAGTTCAATGCGCTCCAGGGGGGGCGGAACTGTTCCTCGGAGGTTTTTAGTTGATGCTTTGTGTTCAAAGAGGAATATTTTTCTTTAGAAAATAAAACCAGATGAGTTTTCACCTCGGTGTGATTCTGTTTCTGGGGAGCTGAATGTTTGGGAGGGGGGGAAAGTGAGGCATGATTTGTGTGTGTGTCTGGTCAAACTGACTTTGATCTTGTCACTCTTTTAAAGCTGGCACGAACTAAGAGAAAGCACAAAGCCTGGTGAACTTTGGAGGAGCTCATGACCATGATTCAGAGATGGAAGGGGAAGTACATGGTTATGCTTTGAGAGCTTTCCATCAATGAAAAGGGAAATCAGCTACTGCCATTAACTGATGTTCTGAACTTCAGACTGTAGGATTTGTGCTCATTTGGCACTTCAGGGATGTTTTTCCTCTGGGAAATGGAAAGTCTTTCCAAGATTTTGCTTTTATGTTGTTTTATGGTCTCTAATTTATGGGTTTATTTTGTAATGTAAATTAAGATGGGTGGCATAAGCTTTTAGACCAGGCTTCAAAGGCTGTTTGCCTCCATTTCTGCTTTTATGACTTAGGCTTTACTTTGTTAAAATGTGCTGCTAGTTTGTTTTAGAACCTGGCACAGTGTTCAGTCTTCTCCTTAAATACCTGGAGTTCTGTGTATTGCTGTGCAGGAGGGGATACGCTTCGCTCCTCCTTTCTCCCCCTGTTCTTTAGTGTTAGAAACCAGTTTGGGCTTGGATCTGTTTTTATTTTCAACACTGGTGTTGTATGTAATTCCTTTTCCAGTACACAGGGCTAGCAGAAACCCAAACTGTGGTCATACAGGTGAGCCTTCCTGTGCTCCAGCAAAGAGCTCCCTTCTCCTGCTGTAACAACCAGTAGGGATGTTTCATTCTTAATTGTTTCCATCTAGAGTGGAAGTTTTCTATCCAAAGTATTTTAATTTAAACCAGGAGACCTGGCAGCGTTGTTTGACACAGCTGAGCTACTGTTGGTAGCTTTGGTAATCTGAGAGCAGCAGCCTGATAGTCCTGGATGGTCTTCTGTACAGCCTTTGGAAAAGAGGAGCTGATTCCTTCCAGCCCAGTGAGTCATCATTTCTTTTCATTAAGGGTTGGTGGTAGGGGTTGGTTTTTCTTAATTCATTAAGGGTGATCAAAGAAACTCTTTTCCAAGGAGGATCTGTGTTTTAATGACATCACTGGCATCATCCCAATAACGGTTCTTTCCACAAGGATGTATTTTGAACTATTTTGGGGCAGTTTGGGATAGTCCTTTGAACTGTCTGGAGACAAGGTTTTTCTTCCGTGAGTTCACATATGTCTTGCCACGAATGTCTTTACCAGGGGTATTTACTGACCTGTTAACTATCCTGGTACAGGCACAAGGGCGTGTAATGACAGGACAAGGGGGAATGGCTTTAAACTGGCAGGGGAAAGATTGAGATTAGGAAGAAGGAATTAGGAAGAAGCCACAGAGAAGCTGTGGCTGCCCCATCCCCGGCAGTGTTGAAGGCCAGGCTGGACACAGGGGCTTGGAGCAAGCTGCTCTAGTGGAAGGTGTTGGGGTTGGATCTGGATGAGCTTTAAGGTCCCTTCAACCCAAACCGGTCTGGGATTCTGATTCTATTTGGTGAATGGCAGTGCTCTGCTCCGCTCCTCCGCCTTCCCCTCGGTACCTGCTGGGATGCAGCGCAGTGCCCATGGGGCAGGAGCATCCCGTGTGGGTCGCAGCAGAGCTCCTCACCCCGCGGGAAGGGTAAGCAGCGATCCCCTGGGCCGGCTTTGCTGCAGGTGCATGCCAGCAGCGCGGGGATGCCCTCTCCCTGCCCCAGGAGCGGGCGGGGCCGCTGTCCGTGTGTGTCCCCCCCTCCTCCTCCGCCGTGTTTGGGTTCGCGGAGCCGAAGCGACGTCGTGACCCGGCCGCGACCCCGAGCGGGCCGGGGGGTGGCGGGCGGCGGAGGGTTTATTGGGGCAGCGGCGGGGCCGGGGAGCACCGGCCATGGGGGAAGCGGACCGCGGGGAGGCGGCCGGCCAGGACTTAGGGGAGAGCCCGCAGAAGCCGCCGTACACGTACGTGGCGCTGATCGCCATGGCCATCCGTGCCAGCCCCGAGCAGCGCCTGCCCCTCAGCGGCATCTACGCCTACATCGCGGGGCGCTTCCCCTACTACCGCTGCTGTGCCAAGGGCTGGAAGAACAGCGTCCGGCACAACCTCAGCCTCAACCCCTGCTTCCGCCGCCTGCCCCGCTGCCCCGGCCCCAACGGCCCCGGCCGCGGCGGCGACTGGGCGCTGGACCCGGCTTTCCACGACATGTTCCCGGAGGGCGACTACCGCCGCCGCCGCCGCCCCCTGCAGCCGAGCCCCCCGGCCCCGCCGCTGCCGCCGCCCGCTCCCGCTGCCCCGTCCTGGCCGCTGCCGCCGCCGGTGCTGCCGCCGCTCCCCGCCTGCCCGCACGGTCCCTGCGCGGCGCTGGCGCTGCCCCGCGGCTGCCGCTGCCCCGAGCCGCCCGCCTGGAGCCCGCCCGGCTTCCCGGGGCTGCCCGCCTGGGCCATGCCCGGCCCCGCGGAGCCACAGTGCGGGGTCATCTGCGAGCGGGGCGCGAAGCCGCACAGCGCCTTCAAGTGAGACCCCCCCACCACCCCTCCGCCCCGGCCCGGCAGAGCTGGAGCCCGCATCGCGGCTGTGGTTGAGCCCTGAGACCGCTCCGCTGCTGGAAATGCACGAAGAAGGTTGGCGGCTGCAGTGACTGAGCTGTGCCGCCTTGTTCCGCTCCTCTCTGCCCTGAGGAGGGTGAATGGCGCTGTCAGGTTGGATTTGGGGGGTGTATTATGATTGTGTTGTTTGAGCTTTGAGGCCCGAAAGGCAGCTGCAGAACTTGGGCAAGGACGCTTCAGCAGTGTCTTGGCTGTTCTCGAACCTGCAGAGTCCCACAGATGCTCAGCCTCAAACGGGTCGTGCAGGGGAGTTATCTTTTCAAGTGCCCTTACACTCATTTTGGGTTTTTTTTTAAAGGGTTGTGAAAAAAACAATCTCTGGATGTTTTGGTTGGGGGGGGGGGGGGAACACGGGACAAACACCACCAAACCCCAAACATCATTGGAGTAATACTGGGAATCTTGTGGGTTTGTGTTTGAAGTGAATCTCTCCAGTATTTTTCATGCAGTAAAGGGGTATTTTGTATTGTTGCTTGTTATATACATTTACATATGTATTCACTGTTAACATGTTTCTTATAAACGATGTTATAATTACTATGTAAGGGTCTTCTCCCCTTCTCATTTCAGAGGGAGTAGTTTCTATGCTTTTTCCTTAAGGGTTCAGAGGCAAATAGTTTTCTAACCATGTTCTAAGTTTGAGAGAAGAGTCCAAATACTGTTATGTGAAGAGCAGCACTTGCCCTGTGTTCTGTTTTATGACTTGTTTATTAAATAGAAATCCCTAAGAGCTGTGGGTTCAGAAAGTATGCAAGCTATTTTGATGCTTTCTTGATTATTCCTGACAGAAAGTGTGACTTAAAGCCAGTTTTCCAGTTGTTATTTTATACTCACAAAGTGGTTCTGAACGTCATCTTTGAGCTCTAGTGATACGATGTAAATAGTGCTGGAAATGCTGTTAGATTTAGCTGGGACAACAACTTTATGGTGGGATGCTAATGTATTAAAGATCCTGTGGTTTTATGATTTTTCAGGTTGCTTTTTGTTCTCTTTTTATGTCATTTTTGATGTAGCTCCTGATAATGTTGAACACCAAACCACTTTCTGTGCTTTGAAAAGCTCTCCTTGGACTCTGGTTGTCAAATCAGTTCAGTCCCCAGAGTGGAACATTAGCCCATAAGAACTGTTGCATTTTGTAGCTGGTGGTGAGCGTGTAACTGAAACAAATTCTTCCCTGGTTTTTGTTACAAATAAAACATATTTCTGTTGTGTTTTGGCTGCAATTTCGAGCGTGGATGAATAGCACATGAGTGAAACTGCAGCTGCTGGATCTGGGGTATTAGGTTTGACCTCTGCGCTCCCATTAATTCCACTGTGTGCAGAACTGGGGAATCAGGAATTGTTTCGGAAGGTCTTTCTGTGTGCTGCCCAGGTTGTTCCATCAGCTGAGGGCCAAGTGCAGGTTATTGAATGTGACGGTGTTTCAGCTGGTGTCTGTAGAACAGACCTTGCTCTTTGGAGCTTGGAACAGCATTAACTGTTTTCTTCTAAAGGACTCCCGTTTTAATCTAAAATAATAGGAAGATCAAATCAGTTTCTTGGATAACTGCTGTGGTTCAAATAGAACTGCCTTCAGGACTAGTACAAATAGACCCAGATTTTCTCCTTGTGCTATTTCTTTATCCTACTCCATTGTAGGTGATGTGTGAAGAGTAGGAACCTCCACAGTCACACGTGCACTCATTGTGCACCCATGCATTAACTAATTGTGTGCCCAGGTATTAAATGATGTTTTGCGCATGCATAAACTGACTTTGCCCTCATGCGTGAACCAGTTGTGTGGCTGTGCGTGAGTTTTTGGCTCATGTTGGACTCAATATGCCCTCAGGTATAAAGTAATGGTGCCATCCTGCTTTCAGAGCATGGTATAATTGGTCTTAGATGGACCTGGACCCTGACCTTCTGCTCTGTTTTGTAGATACCTTGTGAAGGGGGAAAGCGTCTGCTTTTTGCATGTGTGTGCTTTCATACATGGATCTCTAAAAGTAGAAAGAAACCAAGTCTTGGGGGAGACTTGCTCAGGGTTTTCTCAATGGCTCCATCACATCCCATCCCTATGGAAAATGGGATTTCCTATTTCCCAGGTAAAGGTCCAGTGCATGGATTCTCCTCAGAACCCTGTGGTGGGCCATGGCCCTGGGTGCCAGGCAGCCCTGCTGCAGGCAAACCAGTCTTGACTTGGGGAACTTATAGCCAGTAACTACAACTTGTGCTCCCTGATTTGGGTACTGGGGAAAGAAGCCCAGGGAGTCTTAGGGAAATGCCTTTCCTCCCCAAGCTGGGTTTAAACCGAGTTTCCCTTGTTGCTAAGAGTTGTGCTCAACCCATCCCAGTTCCTTCGAGGGAGGAACAAGAGGTGCAGGAGGCTGGTTATGTGCATAGGGATTTCTGGATGCTTCTTACCGGGTCGATGCCTCGTTGGCCTGCAGGTGCTCACCTTCATTGAGCTAATTGTGCCCTCCTGTGCAAATGCAGCTCATGCTGCAAAGCGAGACCCAAAAGGGAGCTTTTTTGGTTGGTTTTATGTTGAAAAGCATCTGCTGGAGAAGGGGCGGCAGCTCCAGTGAGGAGCTGCCAAGTCAATAGCTCCTAAGGGGCCGGTGTCTGTCTGCTAACCTGCCGTTACCACCGGGGGTGCAGCGCCCTCCCCTCAGCACCGCGGAGCGCTCGCAGCTGGGGCCGCTCTGTGCTGATGGACCCAGAAGCTTCTCTGAGGGCAGTGTGGGTGCTGCCGGCTCCTGGCTCTGCGAGATGCAGCCCTTGGTGTGGGAAACGGGCCGAAAACAGGGACTGCTTTGGGGACAAAGCCGCCTGCGACCCCCGGAGGTGCCTGGCAGGGATGGCTGAGGTAAGTGATGGCGGGTTTTGCCTCCATAATGGCTGGTGGTACGGCTCAAGCTGGGTTGTGTGAGGGGCGCTTCTGCCTTGCCCCTTGTGGGTGTTCTCTTGCTTGTACCCACGCCAAATGCATGGGTAAAGCTACTTCTATGTGAATTTAAGTGAAGGCTGCTCCTGTCCCTGTTGTTATCCTTGAAATCAAGGCATTATGAGTGTATAAAGTGAATGCTGTAGGCTGAAGAGAGCGGCCCAGGGGAGGCGGTGCCTCGTGAGGTGCTCGCAGTGTTGGCTTTGGGGGTGTAAAGGGAGGAATTTGTTGCTGGTTTCTCCTTGGTGTGCGTTGTGGTGGCCTCAGGACTGGGCCAGGACCCAGCTGAGACGGGACAAAAAAGGGTTTATATTTATTTATATTTACAGCTGTTTAAAACAACCCAGCAAGGCCTCCACTGTGTGCGTTGTGCAGCTCATATAATGCTGCCTGGAGCCAGAAACAGGCCTGGTGTACTTACGAGTGGCCCTTGCCGCTGGGGTTTTGTGGCTTGCTTTGGTTGTTCTGTCCTGGTTTAACTCTCAGATGACCCTGGTGTCCGAGGCACCGCTCACAAGATGAGCCCTTTTGCTCCATCTGGTCCAAGGCTTTCAAAGCTAACAGTTTGGGTCCTGGAGGCATGATTTTTGGATCTAAAAGTGTTTCAGTTTGGACTTTTACAGCTGCACTTGAATGTGAGGACAGCTGATTTGTTATTAATCCCCTGGTTTTGCTGCTTTAGTAGCTGGAAGTGTTCTGTGTGTCTGAAGTCCTTCAATGGCTGGCTTAGCCTCCATCTTTGTGTGAGTGAATAAATGATCTTCCCCATTAAATCTGGCCTTTCGAGGGTTCGGGGAAAGGAGGTGTTCTCAGTGTTTGCTCTGTTTGGTTTGGGGCTTTTTTAATGCTTCAGTAGTGCCTGAAGCAGTTCTAGTGGTTTATTATTATGGTTGTATTTAGCTATAACTGCAGTTTACCAGCAGGCTCCTGTGTAACTGCACCTACAGCGTTCATGCAGTGGCATTCCCATCCCAAGCAACCTTTACTGCTTAGGAAAGGAGATTGTGGTCTAGACCTTTGCTTTATTCAACAACTGCACTACAGGCTCTAGGGATTGCGTTTCAAGCTTTATGGAATTGCAAATACATGGCGTGAGCTCTGTTTATGTGTCAGGTTGCTGAAGAATGGGATGTGGATGGAGCAAAATCCTGAAGAACAGCACTGTGTATTAGAAGCTGGAATTCCAAGTCCTAACGTTAATTTGCTTTCCTCAGCTTTGAGCATGGTTTCTTGTTGAAAAGAGGTTTCTTGGGATTAAGCAGCAAAGGTGTGAAGGGATAGCAGCAGTGCTAAAGAAAAGGCTATCCTGGTCCAAAGCCTCGTGTGTGTTTACCCAAGTAGCAGGGAAATGTATATGTGGCTGCTTATACATACAAGTTGCTCCTGCAACTTCACAGAGAAACAAATAGAGTCAATTAAACTATCCCTTTCATAAGGGTAAAGCTACTCTGGTGGTAGAGTAGTTGTGCTGTGGGATAAGGGATAAGGCAGGCAGAACTAAACTCAGTAGTGTGCTAGTGCCTTTGTGCAATGGATAGCAAGCTCTGTGTGATGCATGAATGGTGAATGTCTTGTAGGCAGTTGAGACTGTGAAACAATGCAGTGTTTATGGCAAGGCATAAGGAAGGAGTCTCAAGTTTCCAGTTAAATCCTATTTTAAGAGGAGCATTGTGAATTAATGGGCCCAGGAGTTCTGTGCATCAAAAAATACTAATAATGTTAAATTACACAAGGTAACTATAGATGCAGGAGTTTTATGTTGGTTCAGCTCTTGCTTTTTGTTCATCTCTTAAATGTACAGGTGCATCAAGCTTTTGAGGACACATGAAAGAGTCAAGAGCTTTGTCTTCTCTCCTGTGGGTTCATGTGTTATGTTAGCAGCCTATTGAAATTGGTATGAGGGATTTATTTGCCAGCACTTTTTTGGTTCCACAGCTTTTCCCTTTGTGATTGCCACTAGATGGTGTGTTTGTACCAGCGGTAGGGACCGTTATTAACGAGGCTGAAATGGATCCCGAGTGAAAGA